TTGCTGCCGATCTTTTATGAGATTTTTATTGTCTGTTGCTGCGGTTTTATGAGATGGTTTCGCTCTTATTATGTAATTAAAATTTCGGTTTGTTATTTTCATTTTTTTATTAAATCGCTTTATATGTTGTTAAGTTTCATGTGTGTCATTAGGTCCATAATTATTTACAGTGAAAATTTTACTACGATCGTTCATGATCATATTTTTATGCCACATTTTCTACACAACAAGTTTATGGATATCATGATTAAGTTTTGAAAGGATTTTTAAGTTAGTAAAGTAATGATAGTAGATAGTTTATAGTAGATAGTTTATGTACCTTAATTATTATTAATTCCTTCAGACTCACTGATAACAAGGACACAGTATCCGAATTGGTCATTAAAATTCAAAAATTTTTTTAGTAAATGAAAGCGAAAGAAATCTAATTAAACGAAATGACACATATTTAGTGAAATAGAATTTTTATAGTTATTGTAAATTTTTATTATTTATAACAATATTGTAATAACAAATATTTTAATTGTAAAATTGCAATTTCTACAATCCTGAAATCCTGCTCTACTCTTCCATTCCTTCCATTTCTTTCATTTCTCCTATTTTGTATTCCTAAGAGGTGGTTTTGTTTTAGTGAATCCAAGTCTCACACTAAAACAAGCGAATATATGTGTTTTCCATCTTCTAAAAAAAAATAATCTTGCAAAAATTCTTCTAAATAATTATATCCTATATATGTATATCGTCAAATTTCCATAACTCGAATAAGAATGTTATCACATGTCAATAGGAATATGGGAAAATGCATTCTATAAGTCGAATTTTTGTTTTAAGTATGAATCCATTTTGGTGTTACGGGAAGTCCCATTTTCCAAAACAAATGTTTTGTCGCTGGCAGCGTGATTTAAAGTAAATAAAATAACTACCAATGCTTCCATTATTATATTATGTTGAGCCTGACAATGAAATTTGTACATCAAGCTTTTCTACAGTTGACGATATTATTGAGCATTATCTCTGTGAATTAGTATATCCGATTCTAAGAGGAACGAAAAGTAATGATGAGGGTTCGGTGGTTGAAACAGTTCATAAGCCTTCCAAGAATGAAGTAGAAGACTCATTCAATATTCTAAATATTTATTTACAAACGAGGCATTAAATAAAATGCAATCTTTTTTTAATGAAAATAAAAAAAAAATAAAATCCCAACTCCATATTCTGAATGTTTCAATTCACTATAACTTTTGTACTATATTTGATATCAAATAAATGGATATATTAAAATGTAATTCAAGTTTCTTTCAAAAATAAAAAAAAATAAAAAAATTTTCTAACTCGAAGTCTCCATAAGTCGAACCTTTTTTTTGCAAAATGGTACTTCGAGCTATGGACGTTTGACTGTATTATATATTTATAAAAATCGCAAGTCTTGTTGCTCTGACATTTGTTTGTTTAATAAAATTTGTTAATATTAAAGTTAAATGTTGGCTCTCAAATTGATCTTATTATGTACTAAATTTTTTACTGACTTAGTAATGTCTATGAATAATGACAATGCGTACGTTGAACTTATCTGAATTACATAGTTAATAGTCAATTTATTCTTTTTTTAGAAAAAAAATTAATTCGTTTCCTTGGGTTAAAATTATAGATTTTCCAAAAGTACAATGAAAAGACTTTGGCTAAAGTGGTACCCGTGGTTGGCGAACTTAGCGAAGTGGACTTTGGCTTCAGTGATGAAATACTAAACGAACTCATTGATAAAGTCAACATTATTTTTCACAGTGCAGCCACCATAAAATTTAGTTCCCCTCTGCGCACAGCCATAAAAACAAACTTGACCGGAACCATGCGCACAATTGAATTAGCGAAAAAACTAAAGACACTATCGGCCTACATTTACTGTTCCACAGCATTCTGCAATAGCAACAATCGTGGCCTAATCATCGAGGAAGTCTACAAATCACAATTCGATCCTTATGAAATGATGAAAATGGCTGAAGATGATGCAGTTTGGGAGAACTTTACTGAAGAGAAATGCCGAGGCATCATACGCGATCATCCGAACACATATACGTTTACGAAGAATCTTTCTGAAAATTTAATGATGGCTGAGATGAGTGGTTTACCAGCCGCTATCGTAAGACCTTCAATCGGTAAGCATGACAATCTCAACAAGCATAACAGCTCTTGACCAAATCAGAAATAAAAAGAAATACCATCCGTTATTTATGTGTTTGTATTGGTTTCTATGGTTCAATGGACTTTAAAGATTTGGCAAATATTGTTAAGAAAAATTATACATAAATAGCAAATTACATAAATTTGCAAAAAGTTTTTGAACCATAAATCAATAGATTTTAGCAACAAACTTCAATTTGCACAAACAGTAGACAACGAAATCGATAATAAATTCACTCGAAATGTTAATAAACTTTCACATCTACATAATTTTTTAATTAATTATTAATTTACTAATACCTAATAACTATCGTGTGATGTTACTTAATGAATTGTAGATAAATCGACACAGTGAAAAATAAACTCTAACCACATACAGGTTAAATTGACCTGATAATTTTGTTAGAAAGACTTTAGTTCATGTGTTAAACCTGATTTAGTTAAAATCAGGTTAATTCAACAAAATAAGTTTTCTGAATATATCATAAAAGAAAGTAGATATTTAACACATCAGAAAACATACAGACATAGTATCTATAAAAAATTAACAATTGCTTATAGTTCCCTTAATGGATAGTAGTGTAATAAGATGATCGAAAGTATGAAATTCTAATGAAACTTTACTTTGTGTCTTCAGATATTCATCACATATTTTTCTTTTTTAGTATATGGTACTTGGGAACATCCAATTAAGGGTTGGGTTGGTAATGCAAATTCTGGTCACTTGGGTTTCTTAGCTGGTTTTGTAAAGGGTATTTTCCGTACCATGTGTGGACGTGCCACCTCTGTCATTGATATCATTCCCTGCGACTATGTGATCAATTCATCATTAGTCATGGGCTGGTACGTGGGTACACGTCATCTCAACCAGCCCGAAGTTATACACTGTACATCAGGTGAAGTGAATCCACTGACCTTGTCCGAATTTTGCGACATTATGAATGCAAGTGTTGAGAGGCATCCACCAAACAACTTCGTATGGAAACCCGCGGCAAAGTTGCGAAATGGCTGGCGTTACAATCTCTTCTTCTACCTATTTCACATACTGCCCGCATTGGTGTTTATAATACCGGAAAAATTGTTTGGCATAGGAATGCCGCAACACACGTAAGTTTTGTACTGGCAAAATATTGTAATCAACAAGAAAAATAAACAAATAATTTTAACTTTTATTATTTTTAAATAATTTTAGCGCTTACGAGTACATGCGGGTTTTCCACAAAGGCACCAAAGCGTTTGATTATTTCTTGGACAAAGATTTTCGGTACTCATTGAAGAATGCTTTGCGAGTTATGTCAACCATGCATGAGAGTGATAAAGCACGTTACAATTTTGATTCTAGTCAATGCGACTGGTCCGAGTTCATAGATCGTTGCCTCATTGGCTTACGTCGTTATTATTTTAAAGAAGCCGCTGTAACCACCTCATGGCATCGCAACTACTGGAAAGTGTAAGTAAAATGTGATTTCTGTAGAGCACCACAATTATTCAAAACGAATTTTTCTTGCAGTTTCAACATTTTGTACTACTGCGGCTATGTAGTACTTCTGGCTGTAATTTTTGGCTTTTGTGCACCTTTCCTAGGTTTGAAAGTAGGTCTCGGTCTGGCACTTCTTATCTGGGCCTTCCTAATTTGGTTATAGAACTACCTCACCACACGACTTTTATTATGTCTGGTTAATATATTTAAGTCACTTTATGTACTTCTTACTATCATGTTAATTTTATTTTTATTTAATTTTATTAAAGTATTTACTCTTTTTGTTATGTGGAGAGAACCACATTACTCGGGCATAGTTTTAAGTAAAGTCAGCCTATATGTAAACCTATTCAGAATTTATGTATAATTGAAGTGTACTTTAAAACGAAAGCATATAAGTATTCTTATTAATATAATTACTTATATATACATAATACGTGTGCATAAAATAATTATTGAACAAATATTTGCTATTATAGTGCTTATAAAAACAACATTTTAAATAATGTGAGTGCGCTCTTCCCAGGGTTTTAGTAATACATCTAATTTCTAAGTTTAATTATTTGCGGTACTATTTTTCATAAAATTAACTTTAAAAAAAATATTCTTATGTTAAAAACATTTAAAAAAATAAAAAATTTTTTAGTTTTTAATAATCAGTTTTTTCCTTTGTGTATTTCATATTCGACTTACCTACATTAAATATCAGGTTCCATACAAAGGCAACTCAGTTCGGGGACTTAAGTATGACATTGAAAATTTTAAATTTCACACCTAAAACATTTGAAAAATATAAATTCAATTCCTTTATTATTCTTTATTATCCAGTTCCTAAATCCTTTATTATTCCTTGTTCCGATTATTGAAAGACACAATGGTACATCGCTACATAAGACACCATTCTTATAATATTCATACCTCATTCTGGTCGAAGAAAATGTACCGAAAATGCGAATTGACAATTGCAGGACACGATCAAAAGTATGAGCATATATAGCAATTCACTCTCCATCTCCATCGAGATTCCCTTGTTAAGAAACCAATAATAAATATAATTTCAAATCTACTGAGACATACTTCTGTCCGATGTTTAATTATTGTTAAAGAAGATCCAACATTAAATGTGATATACAATTTAGTATTTAACAGTTTAGTAGTATTTAGTATTTATGAATCATTTTTTATCATTTCGTTAATAAGAATCAGTATCATTTTTATACATCTCTAAATATCACTATATAAAGCTATTAAGCGTGATTTTTAAAACATACTCATTGTTATCATATAACAAAATATAGAAACTACACGACATATATCAACGGCCCAATGTTCTTACGACCCAATGTTCCCCTGGGAACGGAATGCAATGAAGAAGAAGAAGATGATGACAAAGTTCAAGCAACAACAACAACCGAGGGTATTTCACATTAAGAGCTCACGCATAATGTATAAGCTTCAACACCCAAGTTTACATAAAATAGTGGCAAAAATACATAAAAAATGTCCAAGCACCAAAAGAATAATTAAAATAATGAGAAAATAATACTTCAAACAAAAATATTCTTTCTTCTTCATTTCTTCTTTTTTTTGTCTCTTTAATTATGTTTTCGTTGTTTTATCATAAATAATTCAAATTCTATATGCAGTTGTGTCGTGCACAGGCGCTGTGTAAACGTAGAATAATCACATAATTATTATGGAACTATATGGCAATACTGATTGACGACAAGATAAAATTACAAGCACGGTTGCCACTTATGGTACTTTAGTACCAAAATTGGTACTTTTTTTTCCGTTTGGTACTCTGGTACTCA